TATTCTGTCTCTCTCTCTCTTCTCTCTGTGCTTCCACCATCTTGCAATGTGAGACCCCTGGGTCACTGTCACCACCACCAGATGGACTTTGGACTTCCCAGCCTCAGGAACTGTAAGCAGTAAATGTCGTTTTTCTTTATAAATCACCCATTTTCAGGTATTTTGTTATAAGCAACAGAAACAGACTAATAACAGAGGGCATCTGCAGAAGACCCTGGACAGACCTACTGTGTCTTCACCGACAAGCCCCGTGACTGTTGTGTTTCTTCCTATCAGACGCCAGAGCCAGAAGTAGAGCCGCCCAGAGCCCCCGAGCTCAGGCAGGGGCTATATGAGCTCTCGGCGAGCAACTTTGAGCTGCACGTGGCACAAGGTAAGGTGGGCAAGGCTGTGGGCATCCACAGTGGGACGCCAGCATCACAAGACAAGCAGCCACTGCTCCTTGACCTGCTGGGCTTGTCCTTCTTGCCACTTGAGGGCACTATTGTAGGTGGCAGTGTCAGTGGCGCTGACTAAGGGTCTCTCTCCAGGACCATTAAGATTGTTGTTTAATCCTCCTCCTCCAGACGTTATTTCTCCTTTTGTCTCTGCTGGAATAAAAATGCCAGGTCTACTGCTGAGACATCGCCTTAGGTGTGGCAGTTTGTAGCTCACAAATCATGAACAGGCACACTTAATTCCCACACTAGCTGGACAGTGCATCCTTGGATAACAGTCTCCTACGTATCAAAATAATCTGTGCACAGTCTCTAACGTGAGGAACATACATAAGTCTCCCTTCCTCACACGTGGGCACGCCTCAGGAAAGCAGGCTCAACCCAGAAAGACCTGGAAGCAAGTTTGGCCTCCTCGCTGGCTCCCACCATCAAATGCTTCTGTGGAGAGAGACCTCGGGAGGCTGGGTGGTGGAGGCTGGGAGACAGGGCTGAGAGTGGTATCTGGCTGCGTAGCCCCTGCCTGTGGCGGGGAGGCAGAACCCCTCCCCTCCACTCTCAGCCTGATGCCTTCAGCCTTTTCCCGTCTTTATTAGAAGTTGTTATTTAATGCAGATGAGTGCTCCGACAGCGGAGCCTGTTTTCTCCCATGGGGGATTCGCTGTAAGCGGAGGCTGGCAGGCCCTGGACAGGACGTGCTCCCTGGATCACCCCTTTCCTGACTGTGCCCCGTGAGCCCGGCCTGGCACTCCTGGAGCAAGTGGCTATTGTGGGCAGGGTCGCGGGATGCCCCCACCACACTGCTCGGGAGGGTCTCTCCGCAGACAGCAGCAGCGGCTCCTGCCTTGCGGGTTTCTCCTCAGTGCTCTGCCTGGGTTCCAGCACTGGAGAGCGACGTGCCTGTCTGGACAGACATGGCATCAGCCTTGCAGATCAACCACTAATTTTTTTTTTTTTTCCCTTTTTGTCTTTTTTCGTGACCGGTAACGGGATCGCAACCCTTGGTGTCGCGCCCGCACCGCGCTCAACCAGTGAGTGGACTGGTCTCTATATGGGATCCGAACCCTCGGCAGGAGTGCCGCTGCGCTCCCAAGCGCCGCACTCTACCGAGTGCACCACCGGGCTGGCCCAGCCACTAATTTTTTAAAGCAAGTTTTCCACCATTTTCCTCCCCTGCATTGTTGCTGTGGCGATGAGTCCATGTCCTGCCCGGGCCGGCTGCCTCTCGGGGCCAGTGGTTAGCGGTCTCCTGGCTGCAGCCTTGTTTCACTTTGGTATCAGCCTAACATCGATGTAGAACAGCCTGGATAGAAATCCTCAGTGTCCAAATAATAATGTTGTGAGGGTTTGGTGTTTTTTTCCTAGAAATTCAGTTTTTTAAGCCTTCTATTTTATGGGAAAATATAACACAGATACAGAGCACAAATGTAGGGCTTAGTGAGTTGTTATAGAGCGGTCACCCTGTAACCACTGTCCAATCCAAGACATGACACTGCCAGCCTCCCCGTGCCCTGTGCAAGTCACAGTCCTCCCTCCCTCCCTCTCTTCCTCCCACGAGGAGGCACTGCCCTGACTTTTGTGGAAATCACTCCTCTTCTTTCTGGTTTCGTCTCATGTGTGCGTTCCTAAGCACTGCAGTTCAGTTTAGTCTTTTAAAAATGTGTATCTCTTCAGAGGCTCTTTTCATCCGCGCGTTCCCCAGCATCTCTTTTCTTCCTTGCATTCTATTTGCTGAGGATGCAGGTGGTTTGACCTGTAGAGTTCCCCACAGTCTGGACTTTGCTGAGTCTAGTAGCCACATGGTGTGGGGTACAGGTTTCCCTGATTTCTCTGTTTCCTGTAAATTGGGGTTGGATCTAGGGACATAGTATCAATTTGGTGGTTGGGGGGCCTGGGAAGACCTCACAGCTGGTGGTGGCATGAAGTGTCATGATGTGACTGTGGGATCTGCTCATTCACTAGGGCTGCCAAGTGCTGATACCCCTAATTCAAGCATGGTGGTTGGGGGGCCTGGGAAGACCTCACAGCTGGTGGTGGCATGAAGTGTCATGATGTGAGCGGCTGTGGCAATCACTGTGGGATCTGCTCATTCACTAGGGCTGCCAAGTGCTGATACCCCTAATTCAAGCCTCGCTTCATTTTTTTAGCAAAAGGAACTCACCAGCGTTAGTCACTTGGTTATTCTCTGGTACTGTTCATATAGGAAAAGCAGGATAAATGCCTGATTCTTTCTGTTTTTCACCAGTTTTCCAAATAATGAGCTGGTTCCTTGTTGTCCTTCAAAGATGACAATTTTGGTTTTGCATATCACGGGTATGAACATATTTGATGGAGAGTCACTTTTTACCAGTTAAAAGGTTCAGGATGAACTGAGATTTGTTAAGCAAGAGGATAAAGATCTGATTCTTCAATTAAATCTCTAGCAGGGTCTGACTTAAATTATGGCTCCTCTTTCCCCCCCTCTGCCTTGGCTCTCCCCTCAAGGCGACCACTTTATCAAGTTCTTTGCTCCGTGGTGTGGTCACTGCAAAGCTCTGGCTCCAACCTGGGAGCAGCTGGCTCTGGGCCTTGAACATTCCGAAACTGTCAAGATTGGCAAGGTAAGTGAGGGCCCTTAGTAAACTGGGCATAGACCGCTGTTGGCTGGATTAATTAGCAGCGCTGCCCATCATTCATCCTGTGCGCAGCGTCACACACTTGATTTATTAAGTCCCTTTGGTGTGCCACTTGCTAATTCACCTCACCTCACAGACGGCAGCGTGGTTTTGAGTGTGCTGGCTTTTCCACAGCCTGGAGGTAACTTATGGCCTTGGCTGTTCTGTTTGTTTTGAAGAGATGGCCAATTCTGAATTGGCAGCCCCAGAGCCTGTTCTGCAGAGATATGGGGTAGAGCCTTGTAGAATGTTCACTGGACGTACTTGGAGACCATCCACATTTGATCTCACCCAGGAGCTCTTTCCTCAAGGGCCCTCAGCTTTGTGCTCACACAGGCATGCAGAGACCCTCCCTCAGGGGGAGCCCCGGTTTGCACCACTGCCTGGGATCCTTTCCACCCTTTCCCATTTTTCAGAGAGAAGCCAGAAGTGATATCTGACAACTTCTGTACAGCTGGATTTTCTGGAACTCTCCAAAGCAGGCTCCAGAGCAGCTCTGGGCTATCAAGCACTTTTAATCTCATCCGTCTTCTGGCACCCACCAGATATCCTGCATGGATTTCCTTTTCTAAAATCTAGTTTTTCTACTTTGCACGGGGCTGGTTTGTATACAGATGTAATGCTACATGTCTAGGAATGATAATAGGGTGACCTGCCAGCGGTGGTGAGATGATTAAAAGCATAAACTTGAGCGGGGCTCAGATAGACCTAGCTGGTTGACCTTGGGCAAAACCTCTCCATGACTCAGTCTCCTCCTTTGCAAAACCGAGACAAGATCTACTGCGTGGTGGTCCTGAAGATGTAAGCGCACTGCTCAGTGTGACTCCTGGCGTGCAGCAAATGCTTAGCACATTGTAATCATTATGGTTGCTGTTAGTTAAATGGATTTTTCACTGTTGCCTGTTAAACACTTGCAATAGTGTGTTCTAGTTATATGGGTTATGATTATGATTTTATATTTATTGAACATTTCATGGAAGTAATTATAAAATAATCTATCTTACCCCATTCCTTGTATCCTTACTTTACCTTATTTTAGGAACTTTTATGGGAGATTACTTATTTTTAGTTTAGGTCAATAGAGGCTCCTGGCAGAACCAGGCATGAGCAGACACAAACCTCAGTAACTGTGCTATGGCCCTTCATCTCGGGGCATGTGTATATGGGTGAGACTGGACCTTTAAAATGCTTGTCCCCTCTGCAGACCCTAGGTTGGGCTTCCCGTGCTTGAGTTTAACACTAACTGCTCTCTGACCGCAGTCTTCTGTGTTAGAGTAATGTATTTACCCTACTTTGTTGACACAGTGAAAAACAACTTAGTCCTACCTAGGTGATTCTAGTGCCAATAGAAAACAAAAAGAAAGAAATGACATAGAACAAAATGTTTCATGAAAATATTGGGCAAGCAGAATCTTCATAAGATTTAAATGAAATAAGAAACTTGAAGTGCTGTGATAGTTGGTAAATTAGCTTATAGAGTTGAGGACAGATTCTAATCTTAATGTGACATCTTTCAGCTTTACCTTTATTATATGCCAAACTTTTCTATTTGAAACAGACTCCTTGCTCCCCCTTCATTTTAAAATCCCATAAGTTTGAACGTGAGAGTCAGTTTCCAAGCTGGCACCGTGGTGTGGGTCCTGGTCCCCGGCAGCCAGGCTAAAGCACCCGTCTCCCCAAATGTCAGGCTAGTCTCCCAGACTCCAGCTACTAACCTGCTCAGGTTAAAACATTCCTTCCTACAGACTGGCGGTGTTAACTGAGCTAAAATCAATCTGGTCTCTAAAGTAAGTCTCATCACCCTGCTCTCTCTAGTTCAGGCGTACTTGGGGGTAGCTTTTAGGAAAAGTCTCTCCAAAAACTGCAGCTTGCTGGCAGAGATGCTACAGAGTGTGGATTTAAAAAAAAAAAAAAAATTTCTTTTTTTTAAGTACAAAGTGTCCAATAGTCACTTCATTAATAATACTCATTGAGAAACTGACAGGGAACTGTACTTTATTTTTAGGTTGATTGTACACAGCACTATGAACTCTGCTCGGGAAACCAGGTTCGTGGCTATCCTACTCTTCTCTGGTTCCGAGATGGCAAAAAGGTACGTCTTCAGTTTAGTATTGAGACAAAATTCTTGTCTTAACCACCGCGGGCCAAGTTGTTGAGTGGTTTAATGGGTGCAGCAAATTGCCAGCATTGATTGATTGGGCACTAGTTCAGAAGAACACGTATGATGAAACACATTTGTTACTCTTAATTGATAAGATTTGGGTAGTTGAGAAAAACCGTCCTCTGTACATTGTTTGGAAACATTTCACTTGGCTCAGGTTATTGCTAGAGTAATGCTAGTCTGCAGTCAGAGTAACCGGTCATGAACACAGACCTAGGCTTTTGAGCGGGGTTGACACTTGCTCTTGGCAAGTTTCTGTCTGCCTCCTGCCCTCTGTCCCCAGCCGATAGTCAGCAGGATGGCTTGCTGGCAGGCCTCCACCCCAGACTTTATGTCATGGAGCTCCATAGAGGGACAGAGTTTTTTAATCTCTACTTTCCCATCTAACTGTGCGCATGCAGACATCACACACCATGCAGCCATAGCCAATACATCTGGCAGGGGTCTGACACAGGCGAGGGTGGACGGCAGAAGTTTTAGTGACTTAGGGCACTAATTCAGCAGCCCACATCTCGGACAGGTTGACCAGTACAAGGGAAAGCGGGACTTGGAGTCACTGAGGGAATACGTGGAGTTGCAGCTGCAGAGTGCAGAGACGGGAGCCCCGGAGACTGTGCAGCCCTCAGAGGCCCCGGGGCCAGCTGCCGAGCCCCCAGCTGACAAGGTGGGTGCCTGCCGCAGTCGGGGTTGACAGAGATGACCCGTGGCCCCGCGCTGCCTGCCGCCCCCAGAGGGCTTTCTCCTCAAACACTGTGGACAAAATGACAGTTTGGGGATGGTACAGAGTCATCCTGATGGCTGGCTGCAGTTGTCTTTCAACATGCAGCATGTTCTTCATCTACTTTTACATGCCCATGAGGGGTAAACGTGAACAAAAGCTTCCCTTTTATCAGCCTGAAATAGACGTGAGACAGATCCGGAGACAGTGTTTGACGTCAAAAATCTCTAGAGAACTCTTCCTTTTGATTCATTCATTTGGGAGGTGACTGTACCCTGCAGGTATTTACTGTGAAATCGTGGCTGCTGCCCGTGGGCCCCTGTGTCTGTTTATTTCCATAACTTGCTGCAGTCGTTTTACTTTACCTCTGTGGGAAAGGCCCCTGCACAGTCTGTAGCAAAGGGTGTCTGCAGTGGACTGGAGGGGCCTGTCACTGCAGGATATTGAATTTGTTCAAGCCACCTCTGACATGCCAAAGTGTTGTCTTCATTCATTCAGACAGGGTCAGGCTTTGGATTCATCGTTCAGTACTTCTCACTCCCTTGCTGTGTTGCAGGCACAGTACGAGGTCATTGGAAACAGAAACAAGTGAGACCATTTTCCTGCCCGTGAAGGGTGCAGGTCTAGGGGGAGACGGTGAGGTCATGCACAAGCAGGTGTCATGGGGGCCGTGACACAGGTGGGCGCAGGGCCAGTCACGTGTGTTGTAGAGCAGTGGGAACAGATGGGCAAGATCTGTCACTGAAGGGCTGCAGGATGACTTGGTGTTTCCTGGACAGATGGGTGGGTAAGGCTGCCTGCCAGAGGGATGCAGGCATGGAGCTGCAGCTGTGGCCAGTGCTGGGGCTGGAGGGCGGGGTGGCCACAGAGGAGGGTACAGTCGGGGATGCTAGAGGATGGGGGCTAGAGCGGAGAGGACTTGGTTGCCCAGCCAAAGACTTTGAACTTGACAGCCTATATTTATAGGGAGCCCCTGGAGGATTTTGAGCAGGTTGAATTGTAGAAGGGTGACTGGCAGCAGCATGTATGAAAGAGATTGTGTGTTAGGCCAGGAAAGATGATGAGATCCTGAACCAAGGCCTTGGCAGCTGGGATGGAGAGGTGGAGAGGTGGAGAGCAAGTGCAAGGAGCCCGGCTCTCCTGAGCTGAGGGAAGAGAGGTCTGCGGTGACTCAGTTTCTGGCCTGTGTGCGAGTGCAGGGTGGAGAACTGGTGGAGGTGGCCAGTTACAGGTGTGAGTCTGGAGCTGTGGCAGGTCTGCTCTGGAAGAGTGCAGCTGCGTGTCGTCAGCTCCCTGTAGAAGCCGTGGGTGCAAATCAGATTATGCAACGGGAGTCAAAGTGTGTTTTCCCAGGAAGTCAGTGCCTGGGTCCCCAGCTGCTACCCTAGGCCTGTCCGTCAGCCTTTTCTAGGACAGAATCTTATGTCTTTCCTTCAGCTCCACAGCTCCACTTCAGAGCATGCCACCTTCTTACCTGGGACATGGACCTTGGGGCAAAGGCAGGGGCAGTGGACCCTTGTTCCTTGGGATGAGGGCAGTGACCCAGTGACTCTGAGCCTTCAGCATTTACCTAAGAGAACATGACTTGCTGGAGCAGTCACTCCCAGACCATTGTTTGGAATTGGAAAGACCGATGGAGCCCCCTCCACCCTTCCCAGGGCAAGGGCAGTTAAGGGGTGACCCTCACCCCCATGGCCCACTCCTTAGTTGGACTTTTAGTGTTGATTGAAAGCTGACTTTTGGGTTTGAGAAGTAAACATGATTTTGTAGTTGTTGTGACCACATATGTTGAAGGAGTGCATGTGTCATGGTGGTTGTAAAGGTCACCCAAATTGAGTCTAATTATATACTATGGATGTTTTCATCAGAGAACTGTTTCTATTTATAACAGAGTTTTCCAGCAGTAAGTGGGCCTTTTAGCAAGTGTGGCATCATGTTTCTGGACATAAAGAAAGATGGTAGTGTCCCACAGTGGCCCCACGTGGCCACGCTGCGCCTCAGAGTGGCTGACACGTGTTACTCGGTGCCTGACTCAGATGGAGCAGCCCTGGCACACTGGGCCACATGACAGGTCATCCATATTCCTGCTCTCCCAAGAGAGTCGCAGATCCGTTTTTGGAGAAACACAGACATAATTCTGTAAAGAACTGTCAAGACAGCATTACTTTAAAGTAGACTGCCGTGTAGCACCTCTCAAATTCTCCAGCTGGGGCTTAGATGAACATTCCTCACACTCCCTTTGGATATAAAAGTGGAAGGAAGCCTGTTCTATGTGAAACATGTGTCATGGCCTGTGCTCCTGTAAACTGGTCCCTCTTTAGGTAGAGGAGAGAAAGTGTGTGAGAGCACAGTGGTGTGCGTGGTGTGCTCGGGGAGAAAGCAGCATATGGACAGACCTCAGGCAGACCAACCAGTGGGCGCTGTGGACCCTTCAGGCAGTGTGGGAGGCTCAAGCCGGGGAGATGAAGCCCAAGCGTAGGCCCCTGAGCTGGACGGGCTGCCCCGGAACCCACCTGGGCTGGTTGCAGCGGCAGAACAGGGGGCTGGGAGTTTCTTTCCAGAGTCTTCAGCCTGTCTTGTCTCCTATCAGACAGCACCCACCTGTCACCTGTACAGCGTCTCCTGGGCTCAGGACCCTGGGGCCAGTGATGACCTCTCTGCCCTTCAGAGGCCACTAGCCTGCCCCTGTGTGGGTAGTTTGTGAAATACAGATTTTGTAGTTATTTTTGTATGACTCTGGAGCATGCATAGCAGCATTTTTAAAAAATGACTGGTTTGTATTTCTGCGATCCCAAAGCATGGCCTTGCTCTGCTTTATGTGATGTATTTGAACAGTGGCTTTCCCTCCCCTGAAGGGCATGGTGCTGGCACTCACTGAAAATAACTTTGATGACACCATTGCAGAAGGAATAACCTTCGTCAAGTTTTACGCTCCGTGGTAAGTGGCTTAATTAAATTCACTGTGACCTAGTATACTAACACATCATGTCTTCAACTCACGAGCCAACCCTCCAGGCTCAGTGTCAGGCCAATACTACATTTACATGTAGGTCACGTAGGAAGCGTTATTATATTCCTGTGTTCAAATAGGTTAAAGGTCCGTGGCATCACCCATTATCTGTAGAGAGTGAGGCTAACATGTTTTAAAGTTTAACATACTTTGGAAAAAAACATAAAAATGGAGGTGAATTGTGATAGCCATACAAAACTTTAGTTTTGTTGTGTCTGTACTTTTCCAAGTCAACTGCCTTTTTGGTTAAATAAACAGTGAACATCATGATGGAGCATTGATCCTCATTGTCTTTTAAATAATGTAGAGAGAGATCCAGTAGAGCTCAGCTTTGTTCGAGTGGTTGAGTGTCACCAAGTCAACTGCCTTTTTGGTTAAATAAACAGTGAACATCATGATGGAGCATTGATCCTCAGTGTCTTTTAAATAATGTAGAGAGAGATCCAGTAGAGCTCAGCTTTGTTCGAGTGGTTGAGTGTCACCCGATTGCCTGAACCTTTGTGCCACGTGATCCTTGGGGACCAGAGCATTAATGGGTTGCAAACAGTGAGAGACCAAGGCTACCTGGTGTGGTGGGAGGATGATAGGTTCCAAGACTGACTGTGAACTTACCATAGGTTTAGATGTCCTTTGATTCCTTTGAACCTCAGTTTCCTCAGCTGTAAAATGGGAACACCACTTTGTCTTCACAAATAAAACAATCCGTCCAGACAAGCAGTGGTTGCGGGGGGCTATTCGATTGTTTATCCGAACATGAACACGTAAGGTCACAATGTGTCCCTTTTGCTCTTCAATGTCTTCACTCCAGGTATTGATGAGAAACTGACAGCTGGGATAAAGAATTAACGAGCTCATGGCTCACATGAGCTGGGCCATTTTTATTAAAGAATAGAAATGTTAGTAAATAATGCCTTAAGAATTATTTTCTGTTTTTAACCTAACACTATATATTGTATGAAGACAGAAGGACCCCTTTCTCTGAAGGGGAGCAGTCCACGTAGCAGGAGGAGGTCAGGAGAGAAAAGGGACTGAACTTGCAGGGGAGAAGGAGGGGGTGACCCAGACTTAGCCATGGCCTCAGCGCTCACCCCTAGTTGCTGAAGCATCGAAGCAGCTTTCACGTTTTGGAAGTGCGACAGACCATAAGCAACCAAATCTAAAATGCCGTCGGCACTCAAGTGATTTTTAAAAAGTTGTGTGCGGTCTGTTTTGTCTCCTGTTCACCTCCTTCTGTTCATGGTGCATTCAGAAGCCAGTTGGCTCAGTTTACCATATTCATAGGAATGGTCTCAATCTAAACTTGTTTTCAGACCAGCTTGCTTTTATCAGGTTATCTGAACGGCTCTTTGGATTGACAGTGAATTCCTCGTTTGGGATGGAAGGGCAGGTAGGGTTAGTGTGTGCCCAGTGGGAGAACTTGATGTTTTATCATTTTCTAGGCAATTGTTGGCTGTCTCCTACAGAAGAAACAAAGCTTGGCAGCACAATGTAGGTGGATGACCTCAACCCAAGACTTCAACAAAGCTGTCACTGTTCTGTTCCTAGGTGTGGTCATTGTAAGAATCTGGCTCCTACTTGGGAGGAACTCTCTAAAAAGGAATTCCCTGGTTTGGCAGAGGTCAAGATCGCCGAAGTAGACTGTACTGCTGAGCGGAGTATTTGCAGCAAGTACTCGGTGGGTACACTGGGATGAAAATGCTTATGGGGACCTATGTATTGGGAGCAGGTCCCAAGTGGAACTGTAATTTGGTACCGTGGACTCCACCAAGCAAACTCTCCCTGCCCTCCCCCTCTCAACAAAGTGCTTTTTGTGTCCTTTTGAGTTGCTTTGTTTTGAGAAGCAAAAGAGGTGTCCTATGGAAGTCCAGCTTTTATCAATTAGTGCACACATTGCTATCTGCAGTAGCTGGGACTCCGGGCGTCAAGCCTGTGCCGCCGCTCACACGGCCGTGCTTGGTGGTCGGCAGCTGGCTAGTGACACAAATAAGGCAGCATTCTAAATTACAGTGGCCAAATAAAAGAAACGCTTGAACTAGACTTCCTTCTGAAAGGGTCATGCCAGCAAACCGGTGTTGTGCTTAGGCTGTTTTTGTAACTTGCCTTCATTCGCAGCTGTTAGCACAATCAAATGTCCTAAAAGCTTTCTAATTTATGTTTTTCCTTTTGTGTTATTTTTGAACACACTTTTGGAGCCTCTGAAGTGGATGACCTCATTAGATTAAGGATACATGTAATACAGACATAGTTTACTTATCATAATAAATACTAGTCTCTTTTTTTGTGCCTTAAAATTCTTGAGAGAGAGAAGAAGCGAGTCGTGGCTAAAAAACATGTATCCTCAAGGGTCTTACTCCCGCTCCCGGTGTGGTCGCGGAGCAGCACAGCCATTGCCAGGGGGTGTAAGAAATGCAGACCCCTCCCCCCCCCCAGGCTGTCATATCCCACTCAAGACTGAGAGGCTCTACTCTAGGGTAAAACCATTCCCTTGACACTAATCTTTAATGTGCTTAAGGATTAAAAAGAGTGCCTAGCCCCACAGCTTTCCTTTCTGAACTACCTGGTCTGCATTTTGATTATCTGGCCCTTTTTTTCTTAATGGTTTATACCTCTTTAAAAATTAGTCACAGAATTTCCTGGCTATAACTGTATGAGTTTTTCCGGTTTTATTCAAGAAGCAATTTGTGTGTGATTCGGACCACTGGTTTTCAAACGTTTTTTCTTAATTAAAGGTACGAGGCTATCCCACACTGTTGCTTTTCCGAGGAGGGAAAAAAGCCAGTGAGCACAGCGGCGGTAGAGACCTGGAATCCTTACGTCAGTTTGTCCTGCGCCAGGCGAAAGACGAACTCTAGAAATGCAGTTGGATGTCACCTCTCCTTCCTGGCCTCTTCCATGCAGCGAACAGAAGTTAAGTCATTCGGACATCACTGAGTTTCATATGATGATTATTCAGAAAGCCGAATGTACTAAACTTGTGGTATCTTCTTTGTGTGTGTGTTTTTTAAACCAACACACTCTAAGGATTCTTTATTAAGTTTCTCTAAGTAAATGTGTAACTCGTGGTCACTGTGCAAACTAAATATTTTCAGTGGCGATACATCCCCTTTAACCTTGATGAAATTTCAGTGGTTTCCTTTGAGACCAAAATAGAGTTGAGGAAAATCAAATTGCTGGGCTATTTTTGGCCCCTGAGGGATTCTTGTGAAGGCATCATCCAAAGCCTGGTTTCTTAACTGCCCACGAGTTCTGGAAATGTGGCCTTGTGGCAGTGTTGATGTTCCACTGATCTGAAGGTCACAATTGACTTAATAATGTGGTTGGTCCATAGCTTGGAGCAGATTTAAAAATGAAAAAAACCACACCTCTGGAAGATGCCTTTACGGCCATAACGATTTTAATCTCTCATCGTGCGAGGCTAGCCATAATGAAAGCGATGCTACTTTTGACATGTGCCTGAGTAAGATAATGCCCATGCCATGATTTTACATGTGTTACTACTTGTCAAATCAGTTATTGTTCAAGGGATACACCTGTTTGTTTCTCATGGGATTTCATTAGTTCGTTTTGTTAACACAAAGCCAGAGTCCATGTGAACTTTAAGATTTGATGTCTTCCGTAGAATGTGTGGTCATGGCAAGTTCCACGAGCTCATCCTCACTATTCTATTAACTCATAGAGTCTCATATTTGCCACCTGGGGTGACAGAAACAGATGGGCTCTCCCAGGCCTGTGTATCCAGGGGTCCTAACTAGGAACTGTTTCTAATTCTGCTCCTAACTAGTCCTTTTAGAGTTCTGCTGTATTTTATCCACCTTCAAGGAAGTTGACCTTCTCATGTAAGAAGAGTGGGATTCATTTGACCTCAAGACCAAAGACTGATGTTGGGGGCTGCTTTGGCCCCGGTGCGCATGGCCAGCCAGGTCAGCCATCGATGTTAGCATCCTTCCAACTCATGCCGTCCTGGTTGTAAACACCTTTACTATCACCCGTGTAAATAAGCAACTGCAGGACTAAGTTCCCTCAAGATAAGTATCCGTCTGTTCTTCACCATCAAGTCACTCCTCACAACACTCACCACTTTGTATCAACACCCTTCACCCACCTCCCATGCACAGGGTGATGTCGACTCTTGGCTCAAAGCAGTCGGTGAGAGGAACCTTAGGAACGGGACCCCTTATGCTGTTTGAGGCAGAAGACAACAGAGCAGCATCTTGACCAGCCTCTGCCTCAAAGGGAATCTTTATTAATCACATGTGATTCACAGATATTCTTTAAAAAAAAAAAACCCAACTTTCTAGAGAAGCCCAACCACGTGAGTGGCTTCAGCTTCGCATCATGAGTCTTGTATTCAAAGAAAATCAAAGTGGTACAATTTGTTTACACTATGATACTTTCTAAATAAACTTTTTTAAAAAGTCTGGTCTTTTCCTTAAATGTTACAGCAAAACAGATATAAAATAGTCAATAAATTATAGTTTATATTTACAAAAAAAGCTGTAAGTGCAAACAGTTATAGATTATAAATGTATTATTTAATCAGTTTAGTATGAAATTGGTTTTCCCAGTACATGATTGTGAAAAAGACATTTAA